ACTGAATAATAAATTGTTTGATCCTTTTCTCAATCACAATTTCACTGTGAGGGAATTGAACCTGAGTCAAGGTGCTGGTATATGTAATTGTGCTCACCAACTCCCCATATATATGAAATCCAGATGCATGACTTATTTTGTACTCCTTGTTCTCTACAGATGCTCTGTTAAAGTTGTCTCTAGTAAAGTCAGTCAAGTCCAAAAAGTCACCAGCAGTGTGTACTGCACCATGTGTATGTTGATACCTTGGGCTTAAGAAAAAAATGGAATAAAATGTATTACAGTAAAGGAATTAAAAAATATATATAGGATCTTTAGTTTTTATATGTGCATAGGAGATCCATCCACCTATCTTACAGGTGTAGGTTTACATGATGCAATCACAAATATGTCTTTGATATTCACTTTTGTCACCTTATGTAAAACATTTTGATATTGTAGTTAGTATGTTTTGGTCACTGCATATGCACTAAGCCAACAGTGGTTTTCAAACCTCCTTTAAAAAATGAGGAAAAAAAACAGTCAAAAAGAGAAAAGGGAAGGAAAGAACAAAAACAAAATAGAAGCATAAACATCAGTCTTAGAGTCAGTAACCATACAAAGCTATTTCAGCCTTATTGAAGGCCTCGCCAACTTGGTGTTGCTAAGATAATGGCATTGTGAGTGATTAACCTGAGTTTATGTGTTTGGATGGAACATGAAGTTTGCTCATATCATTATATTTTACTTGACCAGGGTTACATTCCAGGTATTTTTGGCGTATCACACGGAGCACTACAATTCATGGCCTATGAGGAGCTGAAGAAAGGCTACAGTCAATATTTTGGAACACCAATCAACAAGAAGCTGGTGAATACTGTCTGCACGTGTTTGTATAGTTGATTGTATACGTGTTAAAGCTCACAAATTCAACCGAGTTAGCAAACAAGAAACTCTTGAATTTAATCCTTGATATACAAAACATGTGAAGTGCTCCGATCATGTTCATAGCTTAGGGTGGATGATTGAAGTGTTGTCATTTACTGGAACGAAACTTTACTTTCAACTCCCCTCTCCACCCAGAAGGATTGATAAGAATCAACCCTTTGCCCCCCCCCCCCCCAAGATTGACTGACATCTAACTTCTCCTTACAATATCACCTCTGAATCACACATGGAGGTCATGAGAATAGAGGAAATATTCAGCCACCGAAAAAGTTCTTGACTGTTTAAGAAATTCTCCTTGTTAGTATCTTTGGAAATGTACAGAGAACAGTATGGAGAAGATGGATATTGATGTTAGGGTGTAAAGGGTCAACACGAACACATGTAGTGGCCAGTAGCGAATGTAAAGGGAGAACACGAGAGAGGGAAGGGTGGGGGAAGTTTTTGGCTTCTCATCTTGAGTAGTAGTCCTCCATGACGAGCTTCAGCATTTTGAAGCTACAACTGACGTCCAAAAGACAACCTCTATTACCTTTGTTGTACATGTGGCTGGTAGGAAGGTACTAATAGGATGACGTTTATTATTATGTAACCGTGGGTTATCTTGGGAATCACTCTGAAGTGCTGAAAATATAGTAGTTCTTTTTTTATATAAAGTGTTTTGCTCTCTACTTTATGTTTTGCTAACTTTCATTTTCTTCATAGAGTTCAACTGAGTACCTTGTAATGGCTTCACTGTCGAAAATTTTCGCCGCAACAGCGACATATCCTTATCAAGTGGTTAGAGCAAGACTTCAGGTTAGAATGGGAGATTCATTAGCAAATTATTAACCTTTCGAAATCGATTTTGTTTTACTTTTGTATGCTATTATCTTGAAATAAACTTTTAGTTTAAGGGTTTTTTTTTAGTTTTCAGGCCGGTGATCTCATCGGTTGGTTTACTGGACTCCAGGTTGATGTGGCCTGTGCTCGAGCCTCGAGCCTCAACTAGGTCATTGTATCGATTCCTTGGGAAAAGATTCGTTAGCCCCACACATCCCCCCTCCCCGTGGTTCAAATTGGCACCAACAAAAGGCCAGGGAGACCCTTCAATGAGGATAAATACCAAATCTCACGAGGGAGAGTAGCTTTCACCCTCTTTCACTCTCTCTATTCCTCTTAAGAAACACGGATCCAAGATTGTTATGAGAACGCACGGCGCGAAAGTTTTGATCCTGTGCCCATAAAATTAGCTAAAACCAATTGAATATATCTGGAGCTATCCCTGAGCAAGTCTGATTTGTTAAATCGTTCAGTATTTACTGTTTCCTGCTGTCATTTATTGTTCATGAATTTTACTTTTCTAAAGAATCAGTACACGATGGTGGAATACAAAGGCGCGTTGGATGTGATTAGTAAGACTTTCAGGTAAGTTGGAACTTGACATGAGGACTTAAAGTTTTCGATACGTTATAGACTAGCTTTCCATCGCTAGTTTCAAACCCTCTACATTAAAGAGAGGTACATGTTTTGCCCGTTTGAAACAATTTGACAAAGAATTGGACCGAAATTGGCGGAGAACTGAAACCAGCTTGTTTGAGAACTGGATCCAATTTTCGGATTGACTTACGGCTTAGTGGTAAAGTCCACATTTTTATGAAAGAAGGTATTCTTCTTTTTCTGGCCTCTCCTCACGGCAGGTTCTTTTCAAAATCTTAGGCATGAAGGAGTAACAGGATTTTATAAAGGATTAATTACCAGTGTCCTCAGGTAAGGCTAAATGTTAAAAATAAATTTGATGATACAAGTAGATTTCCTTGTTAGTTTTATGTGTTAAACCGCAATGTATAATCTAGAATTGGCCAAGAGGGCTTAGTGGGCTCCCATCTTTAATTTTAGGTGGCACTTTGTAAAGGAAAGGGTCTTAAGAGATGGGGTACCCCCATAAGGTGTTTGAACTTATTTGCACCCTCCAGTCTGTGAGAAACTGGGAAGAAGAGACAGGCGATAGATACATTAAGAGGCTATAAAATTTGGAGTAGGTGTCATGTCATTGTTTTCGTCAGTTACATGTTCGAATACTGTGAAATTATTAAGATACTTATCGTTATCACAAATGTTTGTGACCCACCTGATATGTTAGTGTAAGTTTTAGCGGTTTTTTTGTTTTTGGAAATCCAGCAAAGGAGCGCTTTAGAAGAAACCCTGAAACTGTAATATATGTAAAACGTTCATTGTCGATTTTACTGTGTATTGTGCGTTTGATTGTTGTTGATTTTGTCTCTTTTTAGAGTAACGCCAGCATGTGCACTTACATTTGTGGTGTACGAAAACGCTATTCACTTCCTTCTGCCGGACAGATGACATCGACAGGATAAATGATGGAATCCGGCAACGGGAGACGATGGGCAATACTACAGCACTTGGTTTTATTACCAGACTTTATTCTGCAACAGTTCCGACTGATTCATTTATGGAAAAAAATATATTAACCGAGCGAAGTTAACCGCCCAGTGCGTTTACACATTTTATCGATAACTTCATTTACTAGCGGAATGTGAATATGAATTTTTTCAGAGCAACTTTTGTACATCAATGCAAAAGGTATCCATTTTTACTATCAGGTCTTAAGGGTAACAATGATTTCTTCCATTGTTCTTTTATAAAGAACCTTCCCCCTCCCCTTTTTCCCTTGTCCCATACGGGTATCAAATTTATGTACATCCCCTGTTCCTTACGTTAAAATCTTTTTCAATAACTTTCTCCATTTGTTACTGAATTGTTGCGATGTAAAGTTAAACCCAGTTTTTATTTATGGCTCTGTTTTTACCTCACAGCGACATTTCCTTGTTGTTGTTGTTATTTTTCCCTGGTTATTGACATTAACTTCAGTAAAAAACGGTGAAAGCTACTCTTTCGCGATCGCTATTAGATGAGTGGTATCGAGAACCTACTCCGACCCATGGACTACACTGCCCTTAACGCTTACTCGTGTTCGTGTTATGAAACTCAGCTAAAAATAGTCCGTGTAAGTTAAATTTATTTACAAAGAGATACACAGTTTTTGTTAAATAATGAGATAATTTATTTACACCACTCAAGAAGCTGAGCCACAATTGACCCAGCTCATATCACTTTGCTTTGAAGAGTTTTGGATTTTTATACGTTGTCAAGAAACTCGCCTTGCTTTGCCTCATTTGCTTTGTGTTCAGGTCTCTTATTGTAAATTAGAGACAAATGAACATCAAATGATTGGAAGACTAGTCTTAGTTAGAATATTGAAATATCAGGCAGTAGCCTTTGGGGGTTACGGTGAGAGTGGGTTTCTTTTCTGCGCTTACTATTTTTCATAGGATTCTTTGAATATGTTTGCATTATATAAAAGGAAAACTTCGCCGAGAGAAACTGTGATTTTGATTTCAAATCTAACATTCCTGTAAAATATTTTGGGTGATGTACTTAAACGGTGTAAAAAGTTGTTTACAACTTGTGTTTACCTAAGCTACTCTAAATACTTTTTTTAACACATTGCAGTTCTGAATACCTTTCTTTTAGCGTGTTTATGTTGTAGGCAAACATTAACCATAGTAAAACAGGTCAACTTTTAAAAGCTACATGCAGCTTTTTTAAACTTAATAATACACATGCAAGTTGCACTCGCCTTACGGCTTTATGCAATTTGGTCAGTCGTTTAAAATTTTCTCGTTCTGTTTTATCCCAAATTGCACTGGAAACGCGTGATTACCTATATAAAATTATTTGAACAAATTTTGTCTCAAATAAATGAAGTGCCCGTGCGCTTAGTTAAATAAGCTGTATAGGGACACTTTGAAGCCATTGCGTCAAGATCTTTAACTTGGATTCAAAATAAGCGTGAGATGTAAGCGATCCAATAATTTCAAATGAATTCTGGTCGATTCGGACACATTTAACACACGGTTACGCAGGCTAAACTATTGAATTTTGCTTACTGTGTGTCTGGAAATTGGTTCAACGTTTCAAAATACTGAGTTACTATTATTACGTTAACTTTACGTAATTTCATAGGACATCGGATTTCGAGAGTCATCAATTTTTTTACTATGCCTATAACGAAAGATAGCGCCTGTTTGTATTACACTGACCAACGCTAAAATAATCATGGTTTATAATTAGAGCAACAGAAGAATGAAAAAAACGAAAAAAAAAAACATAAAAGGCTCAAAAACCATAAGCTTGAGAGTTTGTCTTGCAGATTTTAGTTGAAGATTACTTTAAAGATCCTTCGGGCAATTCTCTCTTCAATGACAAAGGCTATCCGATGAGAATCATCATTCTAATGAAATAAATACTTGTTTGCCACCAAAGTTAAAATCTGCTGATAATGTTGACGATAGAGAAGAAAGGTTGAATACGTCGCATGTCAAAACCTTGTACACATGTATCTACGGAGCGATTTGTGAGTTCTCTTTCTACGTGAAGTATATTTGCTTTACATTCAGTCTGTACCACAATAGCGTGAGTTACAACTAGGTGGGTTTTTAAGTTTGTAGATAAAGTAGGATCCACAGTTTTTTACAAAAAACATTCTTGTGTATCGGCAACCAGTAGAGCGATCACTAAAGCAGACCTTCCTGAAAACTTCACCATCTTCCACTGTAGGATGAACATCATCCAACCAGCCTGACCAGTCTGTACCACATCTGTATGCTGGCACACGTGTTGTGGGCATTTTTGTTCCTGCAGCTCCCACAAAACGATACCATCCCGTGGAGAGTAAGTCGTCACATAAGGTTGGGTTGTTTATCGGTGTTACGTAACTGCTCTTTCTCTTGGCATCACTCAGGTTTTGATAATTATGACATGGGTCGGCTAGTAAATGAAATAAACATTATAAAAAGGTTGTAGTAACAAAGGTAACATTTTTTGTTGACATTTTTCAAGTCAATCAGTTCGACATCAACTAGATGGGACTAATGTTTTACAAGAACAACTATGCGTTAAGTAAAATTTAAAGAAGAATTTGGATTGGACAGTGATGATGCAAATAGGAACTATAATAAAATGATAGCATTATACAGAGTTATGTGAACTCTTGCTTTAATCGCCCATCAAAGCTGCTCTAAATACTTGTTTTTAACACATTGCAGTTCTGAATACCTTTCTTTTAGCTTGTTAATGTTGTAGGCAAACATTAACCGTAGTAAAACAGGTCAACTTTTAAAATATATAAAAGTATTTTAACAAATTTCGTCTTGACTGAATGAGGTGCCCGTGCTCTTAGTTAAATAAGCTTTATAGTTACACTTTGAAGCCATTGCGTCAAGATCTTTAAATTGGATTCAAAATAAGCGTGAGATGTAAGCGATCCATCAATTTCAAATGAATTCTGGTCGATTCGGACACATTTAACACACGGTTACGCAGGCCAAACCATTGAATTTTGCTTACTGTGTTTCTGGAAATTGGTTCAATGTTTCAAAATACTGAGTCACTATTAATACGTTAACTTTATGTAATTTCAAAGGACATCAGATTTTGACTGTGATCGCTTTTTTTTCTACGCCTATAACGTAAGATAGCGCCTGTTTGTATTCCACGGACATACGCTAAAATAATCATGGTTTATAATTACAGCAATTGAAGGATGAAAAAAAAACGAAAAAAAAAAATACATAAATAAAAGGCTCGAAAACCTTAAGCTTGAGAGTTTGTGTCTTGCAGATTTTACTGGAAGATTACTTAAAGATACTTGGGGCAACTCTCTTTGATGACAGAGGCTATCTGATTAGAATTATCATTCTAATGAGATAAGTATCTGTTTGCCACCAAAGTTAAAATCTGATGATAATGTTTACGATAGAGAAGAAAGGTTGAATACCTTACATGTCGAAACTTTATATACATGTATCTACGGAGAAATTTGTGAGTTCTCTTACTAGGCGAGGTATATTTGCTTCACATTCAGTCTGCACTACAGTAGCGTGAATTACAACTAGGTGGCTTTAGAAGTTTGTAGATAAAGTAGGATCCACAGTTTTTTACAAAAATAGTATTTTTGCTTTGGCAACCAGTAGAGCGATCACTAAAGCAGACCTCCTTGCCTACTTTACCATCTTCCACTGTAGGATGAGCATCATCCAACCAGCCTGACCAGTCTGTACCACATCTGAATGCTGGCACACGTGTTGTGGGCATTTTTGTTCCTGCAGCTCCCACAAAACGATACCATCCCTCGGGGAGTGAGTAGTCACACAAAAGTGGTCCACCTGACGGTGTAATGTAACTGCTCTTTCTATTGGTGTCACTCAGGTTTTGATAATTATAACATGGGTAGGCTAGTAAATGAAATAACAAAACGGTTGTAGTAACAAAGATAACATTTTTTGTTGAAATTTTTCAAGTCAATCAGTTCGACAACAACTAGATGGGACTAATGATTTACAAGAACAACGATGCGTTAAGTAAAATTTAAAGAAGAATTTGGATTGGACAGTGATGATGCAAATAGCTGGAGTCAATTATGTCATTTCGGAAAGAGATGAAATTCGCCTGTGTAGTTTTGTTCATTTCCAGCATATCCAGGGTGACATTGATATACATGTGATCCAAGGGTGTTCATGCATGTAGCATTCACGTGATAGGAATGATTTCCTTTACATTCGTTAAAAGAGTGGTTTAGCGAGAGGACGGGAACGTCATTTCAAAACGGCGCGCGCAGCAAAAATGCCGAACGAACCGTCCACGTTATATTTGTTCTTGAATATCCTAACCTTGGCTCTTTCGGATCATTATCAGCCTTGAATTTTCGGTTTCATAGACCACTTGAAGGACAACGAAATTATCCTCTTAGTGTAACGACAAGCACAAACCGAGGAGAGTTTACTACAAGTGAGTTGTTAATATGAATCCACATGGGCGATTAAACTTTGAAATTATTTCATTTCAGTTAAGTCTCGAGTCTGCAGATTCATCTATCAAATTTTGAAGCCCACTAAATATTTTTTTTCGATGATTTGTATCGCTGTCATTTCGTATCGTGCTTCAAGATTTCAGCACTACTGCTTTTTCTTCATAATTTTGTAAAGTATAATTTGGAATTGAAATCGTCGCCGTTTTTCCCTTGTTTGCTGAATTTTCTTCTCAATCATGACAGTACACCTCTTTTAAGCAAGTGTCATGGCGAAACATGTAGAGATCAAGCGACCCAACGATGGAGTTGTTTAACCATGAACCAATGAAATGCACTCAAACTAGTCACCAACGAAACAGTTAGACTGAGGAATCAGACTTCGTTCCCGTTTTATTTTTGTTTTTTATTTCATTTTTTTAACGAAAAAAGTCGTTCAAGACTGAATCAAATTAATAGATTTAGAAAGCCGTGCCGAAGTCAACTTGATTGTTACTTCCTTTCGTAGATGACTTACTTGTCTTAGTTTTCACCGGCGCTGATCAAAAACTAAAGACATAAAAAAGTGCAGCCCGAGCTATTCTCAAATTTTTTTTATCTCTGACTTCAATTCGCAGAACAATTTTAAATCACGGTTAAAACGACAATGACAACAAATAACACTGAATAATATACCAGGTAACCTTCGTGTTGTTTCATTTCGATAAACTTCAACATGAAGCAAGTTTAATTTATTGATGAATTAATTCACGATAAAATTAACAGCACCCGTTCTTAGAGTTTTCATATATGGTTTAAGAAATGTATTAAAGAAAAGCCCTAACGTTGCTTAAAGCCACGCTCAATTACAAAAGGTAACTAAGCCCTAAAATCTTAGATCGCTTGCTAACGATCGTGTTTAGTACTGGTAGGACAATATTTCCTGCTAAAATTGCTTTATTTAATTCTATGGATCCACAGATATAGCATGCAAGTTATTATTGGTCTGTTATTCACTCACTCGATTGTAGATAGCAATTGCTTAAATGTACCTACAGTGTTTTTAGGCGAAAAAGAATTGAACATTGTAACTCGCATGTCTTTAACTACTTTAAGGCTTTGAGACTAAAACAGTGATATTGGAAATCTAGATAAACTCATCAGGATCCGAATTTGAGCTCCTTCTTTTTCAGACAATGCATTAAAGGACAGCTCTAGGCAGACTTAGGGCACAACCGGTATCGTTTACATATGAGAAACTAATAATATGGCCACCTCAGCAGCTTCAGGTTATATTCGAGCAGGAATATTCTAAATATTATAGCAAAGAGATTAAATTCACCTGTGCAGCTTTGACCATTTCCATTAAATCCAGGGTGGCATTCACAAAGATAGGATCCGTTGGTGTTCGTGCAGGTAGCATTCACGTGACAAGAGTGATTTCCTTTACATTCGTCAATATCTGAGGAAACCACATATATATTTGAACTTCATCATGTTTGCCACTTTAAAAATTAGCAGACTCTCAATCGAGTGATTACTTTGGTAATCATACATAATAAAACAATTTTTTCTCTTTTTGTGTTCCACGAATTAGATATTTGAAACGTATATTTTATCACGAGTATTTCAGTTTATCAAGCTATCGGCTCTGAAACAACTGGCTCGTTCCTGCTGCTCCCACAAAACGTACCATCCCTTGGGGGATAGGTCGTCACAAAACACTGGACCAAATTTCGGTGTAGCGTAACAACTCTTAATATTGGCATCACCCAGGTTTTGATAATTATAGCAGGTAATTTAGTGTTAACAACCGAGTTGAAAACGTAAATTTGCCACCGTAAAGGGTAAAAACGCTGACGATTCGAGCGTTAGCTCTTCCTCAATCACTGATAGCATTACAAAGAGTCATGTCTCCTTTTGCTTTAATCGCCCATTTAAGTCTGAGTTGTATGTACCCCTACTGTATGCTACCAAATGCGTTTAAGACATTTTTGATTCTCAACTGCCGCACAACGATGCCAGCCCCGAGGTATTTGGTAGTAACACAATTATTTCCCAGGAGTGTGTAATTTCTCTCTGCCTCCTTAAGGTTTCCTTTCGTTCTATGAAAAGGATCAGATAAGGTCATACAATCCCTTCAGGACTCAACCTGCCATTTCTTTTCGATTTTTTTCCTTCCCCATTATTTTTCTTACCTTATCAACTGAGTTGATAATGCAAATTGGCCTCTGTAAAGAGTTTCAAAGGTGACGTTTCGAGTATTCCTCATCAACTCAGTTGATAATACTAAATTACCCTGTTGCACTCTCCCACCGACGCAGCATCGCAGTTCTTGTAGAACCTTTATTTTTCGCTCTTTCTCCCAGTTTACTGGCGATATAATCCACGCTGGACTTTGTGAGAACGAGCTGGAGGCGATTGATCTACTTTTTTTTCGAATGGTTTCCCAACATCTGAAGGCGTTTTCTACGCTGGTAAACCGATAGAAAGTGCGGTCTGTTACTTTAATAACATTATATAAACTTCAATTTTCCACAGGTTTACCGGTGCAATCAACGATTGTTTTTTTTTTGACCAATCAGGGTGCTCGTAATATCTTGACTATTTTATAAAACTTGATGATAATAATTTTTAACTTTTTCACTCAAATATATCTTGACCGTTAACGAAAACGTAGCGCCATGGAAAATCATTTACATATCCATCCTGTGCACAGGGTTCATAGCCAAACGAGCGATTTTATTTCCATGCTTTTGTCGATTATTTTTATAGGATCTATTTAAAAGCAGAATGACAATGCATTAGTCACCGAAATCGTTCATTCAAAGTTGGGAACATTACCCAAAAGGTCCTTAACATGAGAAACGGCTGCTTATATAAATTAAACCGAGTTATGAGTTAACGCGGCTGAATGGTGCGGCGCTGTAGTCGAACGCGTTGGGTAGTCTATACGGTAGTCTTTACGCCTCCGATCCGTTAACGTTTGGTTTATACATAGATGTTTGACTCTTTATTTAATCTTCATTTTTTTGTTGAACACATTTACGAAATTTTACACCTTCTAGCTCTAAGGTTCAGAGTAAAACTTGCGATTTCGTTTTACACAGTCGTCTGCTATCATTGCAACGCCTTCCCAAGGGCAGAAAGATACAAAAAGCATGAAAGATATTCATTTACAAAAATGAAACACGACTATAGGGGGTCCGTAACACAATTGACGGCGGTGTAAAACAATTCATCAGGGATCGTATTTTCTAGCAATGCCGATTACTATGGTGTTCAAGTTGCTCTTTTCCAGCCAGGTTCGGAAGGGCTTTTCAATAAAGTTCGGACATAACGCACGCTGCTATTGGTTAAAAGAGCTTGCTTCATCAGAATACAAAACTTAGTGCTGAGCTAAGGCTGTCACGCCTCTCAGAAAATGTACTATGTTCGACCATTTCCCGGACTTCTCTCTACCTTTTTTTCGTTAATTAAAAGTGAAATTTCGGAACACGGGAGCAGGCAAGTAGCAACAGAATATCCTAATTAAGGTTTCTAAACATGCCAAGCGCCGTAATTTACGTGATAAGAAAGTGAGCAAAGAAAAATATCCTCACCGGCTACGTCTCCTCCCCGACTACGTCTCGTGTTTCTCTCTACACTTCTTTCTGTTCTAGCCGCTTTCTGCGTGCTTTACAACAGGAAAGAGCATAGTCAAGGCCTCTCTATTATTCAAACAAAAATCTTTTAAAATCCACCTGTGCAATTTTGTCCGTTTCCAGTATATCCAGGCTGACAATCGCATACGTGTGATCCAATGGTGTTGGTGCAGTTTGCACTTTCGTGACAAGCGTGGTTTCCTTTACATTCGTCAAAGTCTATTAAATCAAATTTAAAAAACAAAAAATGGGCCATCAAAATTATGCAAAAATTGCCGCTCATAAGCAATTACGGTGTTAAAGAGTGCAAACCATAACTGTTTTCACCATTTTGCTAACGAGAGCGAGCGAAGAAAACAATACACACGTTCATTAAGCTATACTAAGATATGTTACTTTGGAAAAATTCAGCTCAATATACAATGACACAAATTCACGCCAATTTCACCAGCTAAGGGACAGTTGTCATACCAGCATTGAGAATCAGGAAAAAATCTCACATATACGTCATTTCAAGTGTTGACTCAGACTCGTACCCGTTTCACAAAATTCTCCCTTAAATCCAGGAGGACACAAGCACCGATATCCCTTGAGTGTAAATCCAGACTGGCAAGTCGCGTTATTTTGGCACTGGAAACTCTTGTCACAAGCGTTCTGAAGGAGAAAAAAAAAGTAACGAAAGAAAGATGGAGAGATTAAATGAAAGAAGAAACACTTCTTGCTTCGTGAATTAGTTTGGCCTTAATTATTGTTTCCTTCTTTCGTTCCTCTCTTTACTTGTAGTTTTTTCCTCTTTTTTGTTTTATTTATTTTTTTTACTTCTCGTTGTACCTGAATAGTATGAATAAAATATTTTTGTTGCTTTGTTGTTGTTAAAACAAAATACCAAATGATCGAATACACGCAAATTTGCATAAACATTCATCATTGCTTTTATGTTATTCCAAGGCCAAAATTTCGAAAAATCGATTAATAACTCACCTTCGAGCCACGATAATAAAAATTGGCCTCAGTTTTCAAGTCACTGTCATATTTCAGATGCGTGGCGTTATTTAGTTCACAGATGTTGACTGTTTTATTATTGTCAGGATCTTTTTTGAAGTTAAGACTGACACAATTGTCGTTCAGGTAGCACAAAAGCTCGCAATCATCAAAGTTCTTGACTTTTCTTGTTTCGATTATATGGTTTACCAGTCGTCTTTCAGCAAAGAAGTAGTAGTCCGGAAACACCATTGCACGCTCTCGCTCTAAAATATACAAATTGAAATATGGTTATAGTACATACTATAATATATTTAGCTTTGAAATAACGAAATGTGCATCAACTGTTGCGAACCAGCAAAAAAAAAAAAGAAGATATATATATATATATATATACACACACACACACACACACACACATATATATATATATATATATATATATATATATATATATATATATATATATATATATGAATAGGTAATAAAGAGTGATGGGAAATAAGATAACACGCGCTGAAGTATGAAGATAGGGATAGAAAATTATTCGCAGTTTGCAACTCACCTTTACCAGACGTCAAGTAAGTTATCGATGCAGTCCAGACTGCCAATGTTAGTAACGCTGAAAATTCCATGCTTTCTCAAGACAAGGGAGCTCAATATTGATGCTTTTAGTATCCCACAAATTTCGAGTCGACCACCTGCTTTCAATAGTAGATTAAGTAGTAGAAACTGACCTTTCTGTATTGAAAATGGTATGTTAACAAAGTTAATAGCTGTCAGTCTGGACCTAATGAAGTTTTTGAAGCTAATAAAATACGTGAGCACGCGTTTTAATGTCTGCCATATAAACGCATTTTCGATGTCTTCCGTTTTGCTACATGGAAAGACTTTAGCTTTGGCAAATTACGGTTCTATCGGTGTTAACCTACAGTTAGACCCAGGGATTTGGCCATACAAATTGTTCTAACTTTAACTTCAATTTCTCCATAACTATGATCAATTGAGTGCGTTTAAGACATCAACATTAAAAACGTAGATGAAGATACTCCGATAATACAGTTACATAATAAGTAAGTAATTTTGTTTTAACAATTAAGTTGAAAATGTAAATTGGACATCGTAAAGAGTGAAAAAGCTGACGTATCGAGCGTTAGCCCTTCGTCAGAGCGATTGACGTTTCAAAGTCGTAAAGAATATTATATTTAGGCAGGCGATAAATTGAGTCGTGATTTTTGTTTGTTTGTTTGTTTGTCCGTTGGTTTTTTTTTTAGCAATTATGTATGGACCAAAATGTTGAAATAAAGTTCGTGTGGAATTATTTTTCAACGATCAGTGGCGCCTGGAAACGAAGTAAGTACATGCATATGAAGAATTATGAAATTGATATTCGAGGAAATGCAGAATATTGTGGTGAAACATGCAATATGTACCCTAAGAAGCATCATGTATGTTATTTTCTTCTTCCTGAATCTTGCATCTTACACTTAACAAACGGTAAATTATGATTTACCTGATTTTGCAACTCATGGTTTTATTACAATTTAAATCAAAGTGATTAACCTGAGTTTACTATTTGGGTGGAACATGAAGTTTGCTCGTATCATTTTTGTTTCACTTGACCAGGGTTGCGATCGTTATTTTTTGCACAGCATGAAGGCTATGGGAACGCAAGGCGCGAACGTTTTGACCCTGTGCCCATGAAATTAGCCAAAACCAATTGGATATACCTGGAGCTGTCTCTACGCAATTCTCTTTTGCTGAATCTTTTTGTATTTACTGTTTCCTGTTGTCATTTATTGTTCATTCATTTTACTTTTCTAAAGAATCAGCACATGATAGTGGAATACAAAGGCGCGTTGGATGTGATTAGTAAAATTTTCAGGCAAGGTGGATCTTGATATGAGAACTAAATTTTTTTAGTACGTTATAGACTAGCTTTCCATCTCTAGTCTCAAATCCATCTACATCAAAGGGAGGTACATGTATTGCCTGTTTGAAACAATTTGACAGAGAACTATACCGAAATTGGATGAGACCTGAGCCCAGCTTGTTTTCGTGCTGGATCCAATTTTCGGATTGACCTAAAGTAACAATGATAATTATAATCATCATCATCATCATCTTCATCATTATCATCATCGTCATCATCATCATCATCATTATCACCATCATCACCATCATCAACTTTATTTAACGAGGGCTAGACAAAGCAGTAGATTTACTGAATAACCAGTGGCCCTCAGTAAATAGAACAAATTAAAAAACTAATGGTATTACATAAAAACATTAAGGACTAACTGTATAAGTAGTTATTTAAATACAACTATAATTTAAAAGTTAAAAAACTATCTTACTAGTAAATTAAAATAGAGTAAAGATAAGGCCGATTAATAAAATAATCTAAGTCTTTACCACTATTCACAAAATGTTCTAATATGGATTTCTGGAGGCATATAAGATTCTATTTGTTTTTGATCTCGCTGGGGATTTTATTCCAGAGGCGGATAGTCGATAATGTGAAGGACCTCCCTCCCTCTGACTCTCGCTTGAATCGGGGCTAGACAAGGTTCAATTGTCCATGTCTGCTCGTTCGTTCATTAACATCTACATTTCTTATTACCACCTGAGTCATACAGGATGGGCAATCGCCAGAAATTCGCTTATATACCAAGATTGACCTATTTATTTTCGCTTCATCATAAAAAGGGGCCCAACTTAATTGTTTAAAAAGTTGAAGGCTGTTCGCTTTCGTATCAGCAACCTGAAACTTTCCGAATATTTTCTACAGAGCAGGATGTCCACACGCCTGAGGCATACTTGACCATTGCATTATAATAAAGTTTCCTTCGATCAAGAGGCAGCAAGCATTAAAGAAACATTAAAGAAGCAAACTTTTCCAAAACCTTGCATCACGCAGGAAGTCGTGGAAAGTTGTAGAAAGTCGACAAAAAAGGAAAATTTAAACTTTTCTCATTCTCTGCCCAAGATTTCAACATTTAAAGGTTTTCATCATCAATTAACATATCCTCTTTGAACAAATTACTCGAAAAAAGCGAGGAAAGGCTCACGTCGTGAATCTATCGATTTAAAAGATCCTTTCTCTGTTAGTCATAGAATTAGATATATTACCGTAATTTCAACATCTTATCCCATTACATAGCTGCAAGGACACCAGTTTCAATGACCTCGGGAGAAGGGGATCATGCCATCTTAGTATTTTCGGAAATATATTTTTTTCCCAGAAAGGAATAAATATCATACTATTTCCAAGAAATCATTTAAAAATAGAATGTATCACTCTCAGATTTTAACTTGCTAACGTCTAAGGAAACTGGCTTACCTTTTATGGCATGTAGCACGCTTCCTCCAGAGTTTTTAATGAGAAATAAAAACCCTCTGAAAACGATGCTGTCATCGGCGGTTGTTTCTTGTGACAGTAGTCACTGTCACAATAGTCAATATCTCTCATGCTCTTAATAATTAATTTCTTGTTCCTGTTTGTTGTTGAGAATAAAAATGCACTGTTTAAGTGTAACAGCTTGAAAAAAATTGGAATCTATTAAAAAATGTTGCAAATTTTTGGAATGGTATGAGTATCTAAAGCGTAACTTGTGGATAAATAAAACACAGATAATTTTCATAGAATCTTCATCAGCCTTAAGATAAAAAGCAAAGTTAGAGGTATCCTTATATGATGAAATGAAACGCACGCACTTCGTAGGAAAGAAAAATAACAAAATGGAATCACACTGTTTTGTCCCTGACAACGCATGCATTTACTAGCGTCAAAAAGAAGTCCTGCATTCTTAATACATGGATGAAAAGAACCCCTGAACGTCCTTAATTAAATTGTGTTTTTTCTTTCATTTATATTGGAAGGTAATATTGCATACATGCTCGCGACATCATCCAAAATCAAGAACGACTATGCACATCATGACAACTAAGACAAAAATGACAAAAGTACTGTAACTTTATTATTTTTCCTTTTCTCCTTCCTTTCTAAAAATGCTACAAATCGGCTGAGAACGAAAATCAACAACTAAAAGATTTGCCACCGGCCGATTTTCGCCGTGTACTTGAAAGATTTCTTATGAGATGAGATGTCGATTTGAACACAATAAGAGAAATTTCATATCTACAAGCAGCCATGTATTTTTTGTTTATCATATAAACACAAAAGCCCTTTACTGACAAGAAAAGTCGACTTTATTAATGAATGAAAATAGAAGGATCGACAGTCCTAGAATAAGAATCGTATAGTGTGTTGACGCACTCAAAATGAAAACATGCGTTGAATCACTACAAAAACAAACAATGGGCCTAATTTGCAATATACAAAATTCATAGTTATTGAATTGCTCCTCAAATCTTTAAGGTACACGGGAAAAATCGGACTGTGGCAAATCTTGTAGTTGTTGATTTTCTCTTGCGTGAAAATCGTCGCCAAGTAGCTTCGTTTCCGTATGAATTGAAACTTGAGTCCGAAATAAGTCCTTTAAAAAAATGTTTTAACGTTCAAATGGGCACGAAAAAAAGGTTAGGGAAACCCTACAATATGGATGAATTTCAAATCTCATGGAGGAACAATAGCTTTCACCCTCTTTTTCTCTTTCCATTCACGGCGCGAAAGTTTTGATTCTGTGCCCATAAAATTAGCCAAAACCAATTGAATACATCTGGGTCTCTTTACGCAAGTTTTCTTTTTATGGTAAATCGTTCTATTTTCATTGTTTCCTGCTGCTATTTATTATGCATTATTTTACTTTTCTAAAGAATCATTAGACGATGGTGGAATACAAAGGCGCGTTGGATGTGATTAGTAAAACTTTCAAGTAAGTTGGAACTTAATATGAGAACTTGACATTTTTAGTTCGTTATTAACTAGCTTTCCATCTCTTGCTTCAAATCCATCTACATAAAAGGGAAACAATTTGACAGAGAACTGGACCGAAATTGGCGGAGAACTGGATCCAGTTTTCTGATTGACTTCCACTTAGGGCTAAGTGATCACGACCATATTTTCATGTAATAGGTGTCTTTTTTTTCTTGCCTCTTCTCACGGTGGTTTCTTTTCAAAATCTTAGGCAAGTAGGGTTAAGAGAAATTTAACAAAGGATTAATTCCCAGTGTCCACAAGTAAGGCAGAATATTAAGGATAAATTTGATGATACAAGTTGATTTCCTTGTTAGTTTTATGAGTCATACCGCAGTGTATAATTTGGAATCAGCCAAGAGGGCCTAGTGGGCTACCATCTTTAATATTAGGTCGCACTTTGTAAAGAAAAGGAGTTTGAAAGATGGAGCACCCCTTAAGGTGTTTGAACTTATTTGTACGTTCTAATTTGCGAGAAACTGGGAAGAAGAGACAGGTGATAGATAAATTAAGAGACCACAAAATTCGAAGTTAGTTTTATATAATAATTGTAATATCATTGTTTTCATTAGTTATATCTTGAAATATTGTGAAATATTTAAGACACTCATCCTTATCACAAGTTTTTGTGCTCCATAAGATGTGTTAGTCTAAGGTTTTCTGTTTTTTTTCTTTTTTTTTTTCTTTTTCTGTTCCTTACGTTACAATCTTTTTCAATAACTTCATTTTTACTGAATAGTTGTGATGTAAAGTTAAAACCACTTTTGATTGAATACTCTCTTTCTACTTTTCATGCATTTTCCCGAAGTTGTTATTTTTCCCTGGTTACCGATATTGAGTCCACTGAAAAACGGTGAAGGCTACTTTTTCGCGATTGCTATCAAGTAAATTTGAAGAGTCTTTTCTCGTGTTCGTGTTGTGAAACTCAGCTGAAAATAGTCCATTTAAGGTAAATGTATTTACAAAGAGGTACACAGTTTCTGTTAAATGACGAGATAACAGACACGATGCCGTTCTATTTGTACCACTAAAGAAGCTGAGCCACAAAGTGACCCAGCTCATATCATTTTCCTTTGAAAAGATAGCCAACGATTTTTCTATATTTTGATATGTTGTCATAAAATCGCCTTGCTTTGCCCCATTTGCTTTTTGTTCAGGTCTCTTCTTGCAAATTAGAGACAAATGAACATCAGATGATTCAAAAGACAAGGCAATTTCATAGGATTCTTTGAATAAATTTGCAGGATAAAAAAGGAAAATTTCACAGTGAGAAACTATGATTTCGATTTCAAACTCAAACATTCTTGTGAAAAATTGTTAGTGATGTACTTAAACGGTTTACAAAGTTGTTGGATAATGTGCCCGCGCCTTTAGTTAAATAAGCTGTATAGGGACTCTTTGAAGCCATCGCTTAAAGATCTTTAACTTAGATTTAGAATCAGTCAGATAGGTAAGCGATCCATTACGAATGAATCCTGGTCGATCGGACACATTTGGCACACGGTTATAACATGCTAAACCATCGAATTTTGCTTACTGTGTGTCTGGGAATTGATTTAACGTTGCAAATTACAGAGCCACAATTATTACGTAAACTTTGTGCAGTGTCACAAGACATCAGATTTTGACTGTCATCACATTTTTTTTTCTACGCCCGTAACCTAAGAGAGTGCCTGCTTGTATTCCACTTACCTATGCTAAAATAACCATGATTGATGATTACAGCAATTGAAAGATGAAAAAAGCGAAAAAAAAAAACATAAATAAAAGGCTCGAAAACCATAATCTTGAGAGTTTGTGTCCTGCATATTTTACTTAAAGATTACTTTGAGGATACTTCGGGCAACTCTCTTCGATGACAGAGGCTATCTGATGAGAATTATCATTCTAATAAATTAAATACCTGTTTGCCACCAGAGTTAAAATCTACTGTTAAGGTTTGCGATTGAGAAGAAAGATTAACTACGTCACATGTTAAAAAAAGACTTATACACATGTACCTAGGGAGCGATTTATGAGTCCTCTTGCCACGCAAAGTAATATTTGCTTCACATTTAGTCCGCACCGCAGTAGCGTGAGTTACAAGGTGGCTGTTGAAGTTTGTAGATGAAGTAGGATCCACAGTTTTTTACAACAATAGTTTTTGAGTATTTGCAACCAGTAGAGCGATCATTAAAGCAGACATTCCTGTTGACATTACCATCTTCTACAGTAGGATGAATACCATCCAACCAGCCTGACCAGTCTGTGCCACATCTGTTTGCTGGCACACGAGATGTAGGCATTTTTGTTCCTGCAGCTCCCACAAAACGATACCATCCCCCGGTGAGTTGGTTCTCACACAACACTGGTCCAGATACCGGTGTAACGGAACTGCTCTTTCTATTAGCATCACTCAAGTTTTGATAATCATAACATGGGTCGGCTGTTAAATTAAATAAATATTACAAAAGTTTGTAGTATTAAAGATAACACTTTTTCTTTGTTGACATTTTTCAAGTCAATCAGTTCGAAAACAACCAGACAGGACTTGTGTTTTACAAGAACAAACTTCATGAGGTAAATTTTAAGAAGAGTTTACTTTGGAAAATGATGATGCACAAAAAAGCTAGAATGAAATGATAGCATTATAAAGAGTTGTGTTTCCTCTTGCTTTAATCGTCCATCAAAGCCTGAGTTGTTTTTACCCCACAGCTGAATGCTACCAAATGCATTTAAGACCTAACTGATCCTCAGTTCCCACACTACGATACCAGCTCAGAGGTATTCTGTGGTAACACAATTATTTCTCAGTTTGTAATCTGCCTATTAGCATCCTTCAACTATATATATTCATAGCACAAATTGGCCTGTTAAAGTCAAACAAGTTTCATTAATCATAACTGTTATTGTTATAAGGGAAAGTTTGAACGTTAGAGATTCTTTTTAGAGGTTTTTCGAGTTCCCCGGAGAGTGTCATGTCTAAATCATGTAAACGTACGTTTAAGAGTTTTAAATCATTTAAAACATAATCAAAGGTTGATTCGTTTTGTGTACAAGGGCGCGTAAAATCATGCTTCCTCGATGTGAATTTAGGATGAAAGTCAACTCTGAGCAATTTGCTGCTACATTCAAGGTGGGAAACAAATATAAACTTCATCGCCTTCATGAAAAATTAAACTAACCTTCACAATTAAAACCATCTCCAATAAGCGTAGGATTGCAAGAACAGTTGTATGAGCCTTGGGTATTAGTGCAAGATGCATTTGGATGGCATACGTTCATTTTAACGGCATAAGCCTTGCTGCATTCGTCAACGTCTGAGAGAGAACAACATAAACTTAAATTTTCCATGGGTTTACCGGTGCAATAAACGACAGGTTTTTGACCAATCAGGGCGCTCGTAGTATCTTGATTATTTTATTCAACTTAATGATAAACAATTTTCAACTTTTTCATTCAAATATATCTTAAGCGTCAACGAAAACGTAGCGCCATGGATGATATCTTACATATCCATCCTGTGCAGAGGGCTTAAAGCCAAACGAGCGATTTTATTTTTATGCTTTTGACAATCATTGTTGTAGAGTTCATTTAAAAGCAGAAAATCAATGTATCAGTCTCCAAAATTTGTCATTCAAAAGTCAGGAACATTACCTAAGACGTCCCTAACATGAGAAATGGCTGCTTAAATTTAAACGAGTTATGAGAGATCAATTATCTAATTTTCTTGCATTGTGGCTGAATGGTGCGGCGCTGTTGTTTAACGTGTCGATCGTGCAGGACCGTTCTAAATATTGTCGCGAAGAGATTAAATTCACCTGCGCAGTTTTGTCCATTTCCAGTATATCCAGGCTGACATTGACATACATGTGATCCAAGGGTGTTCATGCATGTAGCATTCACGTGACAGAAATGATTTCCTTTACACTCGTCAATATCTGAGAAGAAACCGTACATGCATTTTGCAATTTAGTTTTGTCACCTCACGATTTGTAAATTTTCAAATAATAAAAATTCTTCCTCCTTTTTGTCTTCAACGAACTGGGTTTTTGAAACGTAAATTTCACAACGTAGATAATATATTTTCTTGACTTTAATTTCTTTATTTTCTTTTTTTTTTTGTTTCCTTATTTCATGGCTCTAAAAAAACCTGATGTAGATCATGGCAACTCCGTACATAAACATGCATGAGTAATGCAGCTTAAGGAGCAAAACTCAGTGTTGAGAGGATAGTAGTTCCTGCTAAAAATTGTGTTATTTAATGCTAAGACTTCTCTGATATAGCATGCAAGCTATCATTGGTCTATTATTCACTCACTCGATTTTAGATAGCTCAAATTTACCTCCAGTGTTTTTAGGCGAAAAATAATTAAATATTTTCCTCGGTATGTCTGTAACTATTTTACCTGAGCACAAGTGTCCATCCCCAGTAAATCCTTCTTTGCAGATGCAATTATAAAACCCAACAGTATTGGAGCAGTTTGCATTTTTGTCACAATCGTTATTGCTGCCTTTGCATTCATTGATGTCTAATTGGAAATCAATTGAAAGAAAACACTGAGACAAGGTGAAAACAGTTCACAAAAGGCAAGGGCGAAGGTAGACCAAACACTATGTAAAGTAATTCCGTTCTTGATTTACTGACTTACCTCCCAAGCTCATGTCGCAATAAACCAACTTTGAACTTCCGATATTAGCTTGTTCCAACCAGTACTTTTTACTGATACTTTCTTTACCTTCACTTAGTTTTATCTCTTGGCACGATGACGCTGGTAATTCCGGAATAGATCCTAAAGGGGCTACGATATAGACATGACTCCATTAATAGTTTAAGGGTAATAGAAGTTGCAAAACAGATTAGAGTTGAAGATATATTTGGGCAGGCAAGATAAACATGGAATAATCATGATTAGGAACGGTGAAGCTTAGTTCATATTAATGTAGTATGAAGGGCGAATTTTGCAATAAGACACTGGCCCTGTTTGATAAAAAAAGCAGTCAGAGACTTGCTCTTGGAAAGTGGCGAGTTTTTTCTAAGAACTCATTGAGAAAGGTTTTTATGTAAAATAAACTAAACTGGATGCATACTTCTACCACTAATGCGTCCCATGTAAAAGCGTAAATCATCTGGCTGGAAATTCTCAGGCCTTGCTTCCTTGGTCCGGGTGTTTAATTCACAGGACTTTTCCCCAATTACATAATTGTAGCTTTGACATTTCCTTTCCCTCTCGCAGGCGATAACGCACACATGAGGAGCTGCTACTAGGACCTTCTTAAAGATACATCCTTTGAGAGCCGTACCAGGTATGCTAACTTCTGTCTTGCATTGCTTTTTAGCAGTAACCAAATCCATGAGAAACAAAAAAGACAGGAGAATCAGGAATCTTGAATTCCACATCATTCTGACTGATGCTGAAACTGGAAAGTGTAGATTACTTAGCAAACCAGCAGACAAAAAAACATCACTGCAGATGGACAGACAGACAAGCATATATGAAGCAACGTAGGAATCAATTCTGAATTGAATGTTTCTTAGCAATAAGAAAAGTACAACTTGTTAGATTTACTTATAATGATTGAAGGCTTCTTTTAATATTTTCCCCGCCCAATTGTTTCCGTAATAAGTGATTACTTTTAATAACGCAGCTTGTTCTCTCGCCAATCTAACAAGAAAAGCAAAAAAAATCGGTACAAATGCAAGGGTCATAGGTTTTTAACAAGTTTTACTCCCCCCCAAAGCAAATCCCCACACGATTGGCATAGTATTTTGGTCATGTGATTGGATATGAATGTTGAATGTGACGCTTTCGCTCAATGATTAAACTAAATTAAGAAGAGACACATTGAAGAATTCTCTCTTGGGCAACATTGAAGAAACAAACTGTCCAGAACCTTGCGTTCCGCAGGAAGTCGTGGAAAGATGTATAAAGTCGACAAGAAGAAAAAAATTTTAACTTTTCTCATTCTCTGCCCAAGATTTTAAAATTTAAAGGTTTTCTGCTGCATTGCAAACTTAAAATTGTAGATTTGATAAAGACGGTGTTCATCATCAGTTAACACATCCTCTTTGAACAAATTACTTGAAAAAGACGAGGAAAAGCTTACGTCGTGAATCCGTCGACCTAAAAGATCCTTTCACTGTTCGTAAAAGAATTAGAGATATTATGGTAATTCCTACATCCTATCCTATTACATAGCTGCAAGGAATGCAGTTTCGCTGACCTCAGACCTCAGAGGAGGAGGATCATATCATCTTAGTTTTTTCGGAAAATATATATAAATATATATATATATATATATATATATAGGAAGTCTGTAAGTCGATTTTCGCGTGGAACAGTGCTCAATACGTTGAAGCAGAGCAGAATAAATAAATATTATGAGAGGAAAAAACGACGCAACTACATATCCCGACAAGCCTGTTTCGTGAATCGCTTCACTCTTCAGGGGTTTAAACCCCTGAAGAGTGAAGCGATTCACGAAACAGGCTTGTCGGGATATGTAGTTGCGTCGTTTTTTCCTCTCATAATATTTATATATATATATATATATATATATATATATATATACATAAACATATGTATAGATATATATTTTTTTTATTTTTTATCAGGTATCATTCTATTTCCAAATAATCATTTAAAAATGAAATGTCTCATTCTCATATTTTAACTTGCAAACGTCAAAGGAAACTGGCTTACCTTTTATAGCATGTAGCACGCTTCCTCCAGAGTTTTCAACAAGAAAAAAAAAACGCTCTGAAAACGATACTGTCATCGGCGCTTGTTTCTTGGGAGAGTAGTTGCTGTCACAATAGTCAATATCTCTCATGCTCTTAATAATTAATTTCTTGTTTCTTTCTGTCGTTGAGAATAAAAAAGCACTGTTTGAGTGTAGCAGCCTTAAGTTTGAGTGTAGCAGCCTTAAAAAAGTTGGAATCTATTAATAAATGTTGCGACTTTTCGGAATGGTATGAGTGTCTAAAGCGTAACTTGGGGATAAATAAAACACAGATGATTTTCATAGAATCTTCATCAGCCTTAAGATAAAAAACAACGTTTTAGGAAACCTTACATGATGAAATGAAACGCACGCACTTCGTAAGGCCGAAAAATAACAAAATGGAATCATACTGTTTTGTCCCTGACAACGCAAGCATTTACTAGCGTCAAAAAGAAGTCATGCTCTCAAAACATGGATGAAAAGAACCCCTGAACGTCTTTAATTAAATTGTGTTTTTTCTTTCATTTATATTGGAAGGTAATACTACATGCATGCTCGCGACATCGTCCAAAATCAAGAACGACTATGCACATCATGACAACTTTGATTTCATGGTTTTGATAAGATAAAAATGACAAAAGTACTGTAACTTTATTATTTTTCCTTTTCTCCTTCCTTTCTACAAATGCTACAAACCGGCTGAGAACGAAAATCAACAACTAAAAGATTTGCCACCGGCCGATTTTCGCCGTGTACTTGAAAGATTTCTTCTGAGATGAGATGTCGAGTCGAACAAAGTAAGAGAAATTTGTTATCTACAAGCAACCATGTATTTTTTGTTTATCATATTAACACAATAGCCCTTCACTGACAAGAAAAGTCAACTTTATTAATAAATGAAAATAGAAGGATCGACAACCTTGATTAAGAATCGTTAAGTGCGTTGACGCACTCGAGATGAAAACATGCGTTGAATCACTACAAAAAGAAACAATGGGCCTAATTTTCAGTATGCAAAATTCACAGTTAATGAATTGGTCCATAGCGACAGAAGAAATCTTTCAGGTACACGGGAAAAATCGGACTGTGGCAAATCCTCCAACTGTTGATTTTCGTTTGCGTCAAAATCGTCGCCAAGCAGCTTCGTTTCTGTATGCACAGCCTTTGTGCATACAGTAACTTGAGTCCGAGATAAGTTCTTCAAAATATTGTTTGAACGTTGGTTCCGTAACCAGAAAATAACAAATGTGAAATTTTGATGGATTAGGGACATTTATTTTTCATTAGTTTGGAGAATGGAAATTTCCCAAACCTCCCTATGAGGTTTTTATTGTAGGACGCCCCGTGGACGCAAATCACAACCGACTGAGAACACCTGTCCAGCTTGAAGATAATTAAGTCCTGAAGATTCCACTTCTCAAAGCAGAAAAGAAGTAAGTTCAGTCAAGCAATTTCAACTTTATCCTCTTACCATCTTGCCCAAAAAATATATTTTTTTTAAATTCAATTTAGTTATCAAAACTTGAGAGAAAAGTTTTGTCGAATCATTTATTCAAAGTGAACCTTATGACTCTGTTCTTACCGAAACTTACATCAACGCGATCAAATGCTTTTTTAAATGTAGATGTTAGTCTTAATGACTACTCCAGCCCTCTGCACGTGCAGAATAAAGCAAATTCCCGTGCGACGTTTAGCACATTTTTTTTTTCATTTGATCTCTTTCAAGGCACCGCAAAACCTCAAAACCGTCGAGGGAAATTAGAATCAAAGTGGAATTCGACCATATATTGCATCATCGTGTTAAAACAGCTACAAAGTCCTATTAGGGATGGCAATCAAAGGTGACATTTTATGGAGCACGCTTGTAGCTACTGTATTACAAAAATGTTCCTATGGAAATATCGTGGTTTTTTAATGTTGTATGTAATAAATTTTGGCCATGTTTTGGAACTGTTAGATTTTGGAAAGCGATATTTCACCGCTATAAATGATTGAAAACAAAAATGCTGTGAAACAGCAACTTCCACTCAGCGAGAAAATAAAACGGTGCGCCAAATAGGCCTTCTAAATCTACGCTGATATCAAATAATTTATTCAGTTTTCGCTCCCTTTCTTAATTCTGTGGCTGTGCGAGTTTACATAAATGGCGTTGACCTGTTTTTTTGTTTGTTTGTTTGTTTTTTCCGCAATGACTTTAAGTCAGATTATAAATTGTCATATTGGTGAATTCTCTTTCGCACAGAATTAAAGAAAGAAAAGTGTTCCAAAACTTTGCGTCGCAAAAAAATCGTTCAAAGTTGTAAAAAGTAGATAAAAAGAAATGCCATTCGAAGTTCTTCATTCTCTGGTCAATATTTCAAAATTTAAAGGTTTCTATCAGTTGTGAAGAACATTATTGCCATATTCACATCGATTATGCTGCATTGCAAACGTGAAATTCAAGGTCTAATACAGACAATCTCCATTATGAATTAAAATCTCTTTTGGACAGATTGTTTGAAGAAAGTGATGTAAAAGCTCATGGTTTGAATCCGTCGATTTAAAAAGAAATCCTTACTCTGTTAGTTGGAGAATTAGAAATATCAAGTCACTTTTAACATCTTACATGTCAGCAGAAGAAAAGGGAAAAGCAAATCCTTTACGAGGACTGTAAAATTCAAAACTAATCGCTTTAAAGTTAAGCTATCTTCAGATGTGAGGGATTATCACATAGAATTCGTTCAGACATTTCTTTCTCCTTTTTTCTTTACTGTCAAGAAAGAAATTGTATGTTCCAAATAGATTTAATGTAGTTTTTCATTCTTAGAGTGTTTTCTAGTGTTTAGAATGATAAGGGAGACAAAAGTGTCTAGCAACTGGTTTGGGTGGTTCCTTGTCAACCTTTTTTAAGTCTCGAAGGTGTTCTTGGATTCGGTTACCTGACCGCGATATATAGAGAGTTATTGGTCTGCGTACTCATTGTTTCGCCAGCTGTAATGGATAATTTTGCTGATACAAGTAGGTGTGATGATATGTGATTTGCCGTCATCTCTGTAAACCTGCTCCCTAGATATTTCACTTCATTTTGAGGTTGATTTCCAGAGTAACGCCGGCAAGTACAGTCGCATTCGTGGTGTACAAAAACATTGTTCTCTTTCTTCTTCCAAACAAATGACACTGAGAGGATAAATGATTCAATGAGATCATTATGCAGTAAATTTAAAGACAATGGGTAGATTTGCAGTTCATGTTTGTTTTGTTTTGTTTTGTTTGTTTTGTTTTTTTGTTTTTTACCAGGTTTTATTTGGCAACAGTTCTAATTATTCCAATCATCGTAAAAAAAAAGAACAAAATCATGCAGGGTTACCTAGTTAACCGCCCCATACGTTTACATCATTGACTTCATTCACCACTGGATTGTAATAATTAAACATTTTTCACAGCATACTAAAGATAACAATGCAAGTGATATCAATCACTTTTCTTAGCTTCTAATGTTAACAATAATCTCTACCATTGTTCTTTCATTTGGAACTCCCCCCTCACCACCCTTTTGATTGCATCTTTATGCGCATCACGTAAGTACTTACAAAGGAGTGATTGACATATAACTTCTCCCTATAATATACTTATATTATTCAGCAAACAGGTAATATACAGGTAATACTCAAACTTACCATGATCTCACACGAAATTCTC